CATAAATTTTGTATATATATTTTTTGTACGCAAGTTTGTCTATTATTGCTGAATATAACATCAATCCTTGCTTGAAATCAACAAGATATTAACTATATTTTGATATATGGTTTTGGTCAAATGAATAAACTACAACACTATAACAATGACAATATACGTATCTGAACATTTAACCCATTAGTTCAAGTGAATCATAGCAGTTTCATATGTTTGAGAGTAAGAGTAGGAACATTTTTTAGCGGGATCATGTTGAAAATCATCCCCAGACCATGACACACTGACTTCTGAGAGCTCGTGGCGAAGGTCTATTTGGAGTTATTATATTGATTTTACAATTTGAGCTTATTTAGCATCTCAACACTGTTTTGTGAGCCATTGTTACAGCCCTGTGTTCTAACCAAATCAGGAAGTGGCTTTTACCTGCAGCCAAACATGTGCAAAGCATTTACAGTAAAAACACAACTGTACCTCTGTCTCCTGTTGTTGCTGTGTCTGATTCAAAATGCTTTTACTTATAATTCTAAATAATTGCTTGGATAAAATGAATTACAGATTTGGTATTTTGAGAAACATATCAGTTCAACTTCAACATGAAATACCTTCTCTCTCCTTTATGAACACTAAAAGAAAACCAGCCATAGCAGTTTGACTAAGGCCTGAGGATTATAAGAGCCCTAAGAAGCCATAGCACACAATACAAGGCCTCACAACTTTCTAATAAAAGAGACACATTTCCCCTCATGGATGTAGGGAGATTCCAGGCCATTTTAAGTTGTTATTTAAATTTCAAAAGAATACCTCATAATTAGAATAGAGAAACTAACGCACGTTTTGATCAATGCTATTTCAAATTCCAGATGTTGATAAGAATTAGACTAGGCCACACACACACACACACACACACCACTCCAGCTTTGATATATGCACAGTATATATACTTTTGAATAAGTTGTTCATCTAATGAGTGTGTACCTACGCAGAAATTCAGAAATCTACTAGCAAATATGCCATGCCATTCAGCATTATTGCTTAAAAACACACTTCATATTATTGAAAAAATAACTTCAGTCGATGTGAAATAATAACATAGACTTGCTTCCATATAAATGAATATCTAAAATTGTATTGTATTTCGAATGGATGCACAATTATTGGAAATCCTGTCTTTACTGTGAGGCCTGTTGCTTCTGTCTCAAATTATTTGTCCTGTTTATAAATGAAAGAATATTAAATCACAACTTATTAATTACAAAAAAGATAAGTCTGGTCATAAAAAGGAGTGATATTTCTAACTTGTCACACTGAGCACCATTCTAGCGTGTGCAGCAGTAGCAGTAGTAGTGGCCTGAGAGCTCCCTCTAGCAGATAGAGTGGGAGGTATCGTGGGGAGGGAGGGGGTGATAAAGGCATGGGTAAAAGTGTGTGTGTGGAAATACAAGAGAGTTTTGGTACGCTCAATTCAGAAATTAACCTGTTTTCACCCAGAGAAAATAGCCAGACCTTTTTTCCCCTCACAATTAACTTCTATATAGTGGTGTTTTTACTTGATCTGGTAAGGTTAAGTTCATTTCCACACAATCATTTGTAAAATTAGAAAGTAATGCATAGATTTAGCTGTTTTAATGCATGCACAGCTGACAATAAATGTTGGACTATACATCTATATACTAAATGGACTGAGAATGTAAGGTTCAGGGTATAAAGCATGTAACAAGATGTGAAATATCCATGGCACCAAAATGACCAAGTGTTTTACATGCAGTCTAAATATTGTGAGCTCAGATCAATAATTTTGAGAAATGTAAGATGAAATTGAAAAGAATATTGTCTATTTACAACATATTTTGTAAGCAGAAGATTAGAAACCCTATAGTGTGTGCTTGGATGACTGTCAGACTTACATCTTGTGAGAAATTTTGCAAGAAACTACCACGAATATTGTCTATTTAAACCACATTTTGTGAGCTTCAGAGTAGAAACTTTCCTAAACGATTCGAAAATCTGATCTGACCCATAATCCGTTCTTTGACTATCACAATCCTTTGCCCATCGCCACATTGCACATATCAAAACAATGATATCCGACACTTCGTATTTTCATTTATACCGTCTTAACCAACACCTCACCGCTCGGCTGCTTCGAGAGCCAGCCGCTACAGCCTCCTCTGTCGCTAACAAAGACTTAGCCACAGCAGGGTGCATGGCTATTTGACAAGCCAAAGGGAAACATGCATCTCAAGTGGGCGAGTGCAATTTACACGCGCCCTATCTCTCCTTCCCTCCCTCACTCCCCTGCCACAATGGGGGTAGATAGCTCGCTCGCCCATCTCTGCATCTCTTCACACTAAATCAAGAAAGGAGGGGAAAAAAAGCTATTTGCTGTGAATGGGAAGCAGAAGGCGAAGGATTGAGCCGTGCACGGTGGCGTGGACAGTGCCAAAACACACGCCAAACAAAAATATATAAATCCACTTTTCCTTGATTAATCTTAACCATGTGTGGCGTTCTTTTCGTTTGGAGATGCCAGGAAATGAGAGGGGAATTAGAGGCCAGAAATCAGGCAAGAATTAACTAGTTTGTGTGATCGAAATCTGATTGAAAGCAACGCTTGTTTGGAGATTTGAAGGAAAAAAAAAAAAAAAAGAGTATAAATCAATGAGGCTATAGGGATTGGTAAAGAGGAGTAAAGAGGTCGTGACATGACTTGAGACCAGTTTTGAAGAAGTGTTTAAACATCTCTGTCACACTGCGTACAGATTTCAAATGCTTCAAATCAAACGGGAGAATCTAAAAGGAAGTGTGTAATTTGAGGTCAATAAAGCGTTTGTTATTATTATGTCTTATATTTGCTCATAATTGTAAAATTATTGCACTTTGATACACACTTTCTTTGAAGTCTGACTGATAACACAGTTTTGAAACGTGTGTGTCTGTGTGAGTGCGTCTGTGTAGGTGTGTGTAGGTGTGTGTGTGTGTGTGTGTGTGTGTGTGTGGAAGAGCAGTCAAATCAACTGCAATGAACACTGATAGAGGTGTCTTTCTGGTGACTGCTGGCAAATACACACCTTTACTAATTCAATTTTTTTTTTTTTTAGGAGTTTGAAATCTTTCATTCCAGTCAACATTGTGCACATTGTTAAAGATACGTTCACTCTTTGCAACAGCACAATTATGACTATTTAGCCTAAATTTGTGAAAAATGTCAAAAGAAATCACCTAATTTGACAGCTGGATCACGTTTGAGCCCCCTGCATCACACAAAACGAACTGAAATCATAATGAACATGGACAGAGGAGCCTGTCTGACGCCTGCTGAAACACGGGACGCAGAAGTTGATAGATTTCCCCGCCTCGAATGATTTGGGCGATCACATTTGCCCGCATTTGCATACAAAGCAATGCATGTGGGCCCGTGCAAGTTTACTCATGTGTGTATGTATCTGAGAGTAGCCAAGCATATTAAATGGACGCGCATCTCTTTCTCTCACATAAATTATGGAATGTACAGCAACCCTGCCACAGCCTGAGAAGCTATGAATCAGGGAAGAGACAAGACAGGTTGAACCAGCTCTGGACAACATGCATTTGTACTTTTGCTGACGCTTAAGTGCCCCCTATACTCTATATACCTGTCTATCTTATTGCAAAAGGGATATTCTTCTCTTGTTACAACACAAGCACAGTTGACCCCCTTTCCTGTATGGTTCAAGTCTGCTCTGTGCAAATCTCAACATGTCAAAGAGTTGGTTTTGTGACCGGAGCAGAAACTACAGCAGTGGTGCACTTGGCCAGCAGAGAAGCACTTCTAAAGATTACAAATATTTAAAAGTGAAGTGATCTGGCACCACAGTCTCCCCAAATAACCTCAAGCAGTTTAGGAAAAACAGCTAAGAAAACATGTCTATTTGAAGCAGCAGTTTTGTGGAAAAGACTTTGACATGGTTTGAAATTTATGGTTTGCAAATGAGGAGAAGTGTAGCCCTTTGGATTGCACAATGATTGCACAGCGCCTCTGTAAATTACTTTTATTTGAGACATGTCCCTTCAAAATCATTGTATAAAAGTTTTCTCCAAGAAGACGCGTTGAAATGAATGGATTGTTTGAAGCGCTCTCCCCCAAACGTGTGCGTAAAACTGATCCAATGTATTTTCTCGCCATAAATAAGACACGCTGGTTTCGTCCCTAAATGCTGCCACTTATTCCACTTTCTCCCCAGGAAAAAAGTGCCGTGAGGCGGGGGGAAGCTCGGGATTTTCGCTGTCAGTGCATGCAAGCTATTAAATAATCCAAACGAAGCATTAATATTACAACCAGAGGGAGCAGAACCACAAAGACGCACTAATTACGGTGAACACACAGTGATACGGCTGCACTCCGCTAATGACAGACTGTAATAAAGAGAAATATAAAGCCAGTGGACCCGAGGCGCTGCGCAGGGAACACTGCTCAAGTTAAAACTATTTTAAATAAAGACTTTGACGCGGTAAAAAGTGCAGATGTTTTGGAAAAAAAAATCTAAAGACAACATTGTGTAATAAAAGCCAGGATTTGCCGTTGTAAATTGTAAATTGCAAAACGTTTAATCTTCATGAAATTAGAAAAGTAAATACGATTGGTGTTGCAATCTAAATTGAAATAAATCGTTTTAAATGTATTTTTTCACGGAATGCGTTGTGCTCTTTCACTCGTAAATAAAATAAATGCACACACGTGTTTGAACAGATCTATATTAAAAGCTGTATTGTAACCTGTCCATTCTAAACTTAGTAATTGCACAGTGCAGTAAAAGGGTAAATTGCTTGTTTGAGAAGAGCGCGTTCATCTGATAAGCAAAGTGTTTTATCTTCTTTATCACGAGAGAAAGGAAACGGCCCGCATGCACTTGTGAAAACTTTCCCTCAAGCGGACGTGGATAAAAAGTACAAAGTGTGAATGTTGTCTAAATGTACAGTCTGCTTTGGAGGTGTAAATGAAGAAAGTGTCCAAATGCGGTACTCACGAGTGGGTTCTCTCTGGGACAAGTGCTGTGGGTTCCCCTGCTTTCTTCGGGACATTGCCCTGGCATTTACACTGGCATCGCCCGGAGAGCGGCGCTGGAAGGGTCGGCTCTCCTCCGTCTCTCTCGGGCCCCACCGGCCGCAGCACGGGTCCCTCAGAGCGAACTGTTCCCGTAGCCGCGTGTGGAGCTGTGGCGAGAGCAGTGTCACAGCGCAGTGCCAAAGTGACGCTTCTGCAGCAGGAGGAAGAGCTCAGAGCAGGTACAGTCCGGGACAGTCCGGGAGTGCGCGTGGACAGTCCGGGAGTGCGCGTGGACAGTCCGGGAGAGTCCGGGAGGGTCCGCTCGTGATGGGACGGGACGGTCAGTCAGTGTCCACTCTCCGGACACTGGACACTGGACCTGGGCGCGCGCGTCCGGACAGGGTGAATAGAGATCCAGAAGAGCGCAGCTAGTGGAGAGTCAGTGAGCGGCGGAGAGGACAGTCTGACTGTGTGTCCGCATCCCGGGGCTGTGGCTGTGCGTGGCTGTGCGTGGCTGCGCGTGGCTCTGTGCGGCTCTCTGGCTTCTACAGCGAGACACAAACTCAAGTTCAAGTGCGGACGTGACGTTCAGTGTGCGGTGCGAAGGGAGAGTGGAGACTGAAGAGCACTGGGGGCGACTAGTGGTGGCTTTCACACACACTGACACACACTGACACACACACCACTCACGCCCCACGCGCACACACCGCCACACAGTGCGCAGTGGCCGGAGCCCGCTCCAGTCACTCATCTGCTCCAGCCCCTTCCGTGGAGGCAGAGGAGAGAGGAGAGATACGCTGAGCCGAGCCGCTGCTGCTGCTGCCTGTGCTGCTGTGGCTGGACACAGACTGCTCCGTGCGTAAAGCTCCTTCACTGGCCGTCCGCTCGCGCTGCCCTGGTAGATTGCAGCGCAAGGCATGTTCACTTTCACTTATCACTTGCCTTCTGACAGTGTGATATTGTACGAACCCACGATTAAAAAGACATAAACTGATCAGCGTTTGACCTTTGTCGCCTCATAACTTAATACAACGGCCACACGCACGATGCTTATTTTCAGTGGGTTAGATACAGAGTGACAGAAAACAGTCCATACGTGTGTCTATTGTCTTCTCCTTACCCCCGAAGCCCCATAAATACACTCATACAAACATAAACACGCACACACACGCTCACACACATCACTCATGTGGACACCGGACAAAGTTGACTCACAGACTTCCGTTGTGGTTTGACCCCGTGTTGCACCTAAACCTTTCGGACAATAATGACCCGTGACACCTATATATAGGATGCTGTACGTAAATTAAGTTGAAATATGTTGCAGATTGAAATTAAATGAATAATATTGCCGCTTATTGCATTGTGCGTCTCATAAAGTCTTGATTTAATTAATTTCCTCACACCAAACGCTCTCTGGTGCGTCGTTGTGGCCTAAACGCGCGCACAGATCACGCCCTCTGCTTATAGCAACACCAGACCTCTAATTCCTTACTGCACTTAATTTACCAAATTTGAAATTTTTAGGATGTTTTACAAGTGCAAACAAGCAAAATGTATCTATGAAGGGTTTTGATCTGCATTCAAAATAAAATCTTGTATGTCCAATGAGGAAAACTCGACTTGGGAGAGAAAGACTTAATTGTCAACAAGTTCAAATGTGGTTCATTTTAATAGGCTTTGGAATGATTTTGTTATGAGAGAAAATCCACCACCTCATATGGTAATATTAAAACACATTGTAAATGACATGACATCACTGGTGTACATCCTATAGCAATGATTGTGTGAGATTTGAAGTTATGTTTTCATTATGCATGTATTTTCATTTGCTGTTGATTTTGGTGCGATATTATGGGCAATTTATCTTAGCAAAATTTCTAAATTAATAGCGGCATAAAGCAGGTGCCAAAATTAGACATGCTGCTATGTTGTAACACCAACACCAGGATGTTGCTTGGCACAGTTTGCGGTTGTGCGTGTGTGCGTGTGTTAGTTTATGGATGTTGTTGATTGATAACTGCTTTGCCGTGCGCGCTGCCGGCTTCCTGACTCAGTATAAGAGGAGCCAACTACTGTATGGGGAGTGGGGAGACGGAGAGAGGAGAAGAGTGGGGTAAACAGGACATTTTGGGAACTTAAAAGTAGGTAAACGGATTGAGATTTCAGAAAAGGGATATGTGGGAACTATAGGCAATGAAAACATCATCCAAAAATTTACATGATACCATTTTATTTGCAATTTGTGCCACAGATTTTGCAGACTTTGAACTATGGCAGTCGCACAAATTCAGCAACAAAATTAAACAGAATTGTAATCCATCGGCTTTTATGTGTGATGGAATTTGACTTCTACCGACTGAGAATAGACGTTTCATACTAATAGGCATCCAAAGCACAAACACACAATGTTATGCCATATCTCGCTGTCTTTTTCACAACTTGCACGACAGAATTGGCCTTGTTCCGACTGAGAATAAACCAAACATTTCTGAACAAGTGTCCATTCAAAACCGCATAGACATCCTTCATCCTAAATTTCCTTCCTCCTCTTTCTCGTTTGCATCTTCCGAAGGGGTGGGGTGCTGCGATGAGCCCCGGGGAGCGTCTTTGCCTCTTATCCTCTGCATATACAGTACAGCAAGACGACCAGGTGTTGTCATCACAGAAAGTCCTGCCAGCAACGCCAAATGTAGCTCGCTATCGTTGCTTTGTGGCGTCCTCTGCATAGCCCCGAGTGCTACCAAGCTTTTCCCATCCATCCATCCATTCGTCTTCTTTCTTTCTTAACATTGGCCTCCGCTTGTGTCTGATCCATAAGCGTATTTCGGCAGTAGGAGTTAGACATAAATAGATTTGCGACGCTCATTTACAAGAGAAAGGCGAGTGCGCGGTTTGTCCAAATGTCTTTGTCAGACACCTACTTTCATTTTGAGAGGGATACGCGCGCCACTTTGTCACAATATGAGCCGACGGAGCGCATTATGTTGGAATGTAAATCATTGTCAGTTTTAAGGCACGCGTCAGTATTTTGCCTCCCTTTGTCATGAAGATATGGGATTAAAGCTGCTTTGAAGAGCTGTTTGGAACGGACAGCAAAGCGTTTTATTGTAATTCCTTCGTGTTTACCCCACAAAGTTGAAGTTTTCCACTCGAACTACACAAAGACGACATTTCAGGCCACTTCCTGAATATGGCTTGTCCGTCCTTGCGACCTGATTGGTTCATTAGTCAGATATAGGCGACAGGTGCATGATTCGTATACACTTCCTTATTGGGAGTTTTTTTTACTTCCCTTAGTGAACGACGTCAATTTCTCACGAAAGGAAAGGCCATCAAGTGTGAGTTATAGCACATGGCTCGCGGCATCCTGCATCTACCACCCCCCCCCACCCACCCCACCGTCACATCATTTGCATATATATACGCGCTTGTTTGTTTTTATGTTAATGCTAAATAAGCCCTTTCTCTCCTACCCCCCTGCCACGCTCCTTGCTCGCCCATCGCCATGGCTGGACGGTTAAGTTTTAATTAGAGGGACGTCGAAGTGTCCTTAAAGAGTTTTAAGATCACCCCCACTATAGCAAACCCCCCACCACACACACACACAACAACTGTTCACCGCTTAACTGTTAATATTGATGTGTATGCGTTTAGAACCATGCATGCTGGGAGATAAAGCGATGAAATAGAGAAGAAAGAAAGGAGGAGCTCACCGAACAATGCATGTAATTTGTGATTTTAAGGCACAGCCAATCAGAAAGGAGGATCAAACATATAACGTTTTGACTCCTGTGTATTATTAATGTTTTAAAGGAGTGCATGGTATGGACTGTTTAGTTTTGAGATGCTTTGTCGCGAGGAATAACAAAACGATGTATTACTGTTCAAGAGGTTTAAGCTCAAGATGAAATGTAATGTGTGTACTTTCTTACACGTAGGCTAAGATTTTGTCTCAATTCAAGCAGAGTACAACCATATGTGTCAATAAAGCAGATTCTAGTGGATAGAAAGCAGGCAAGAGTTTCTGTGGACCTTTTCATCGGTAATGAGATAAGAAAAAGACTATCATAAGCACACAAATGCAAGAAATGTCGTTTGTCAATCCCTAATCATAGTTTTATTTTTATGTTATTTATTTAATCAAATAAAACAAGATACAAAATATCGGGTAGGATGAAGAAAAAGCATATTTGGCTTCCTCTCTTCTCACTTACTGTATTCAACTCAAAATACACGCACACATATAGGCACGCACACAATCACCTACACATGCACACACACACACACACAAACACACACATGCAGTCACACACAGACTCATTCACTCAGCCAAAGCACCGGCCCAAACCGATACAGTCACAGACCCAAACACTCTCTGACCCTACCTCTCTCCCTATAGATCACAACTTACATTTCCGACTGAATCAATGATTTACTATTATTATTAATTTGTGTTTAAACGAGAAATCATGAAGCTTATTGTATAATATTTCAAACATTATATATATGTATCTAACACTTATTGTTATGAAATATGATTATCTTTTGAAAAGTGAAATTGCTGACTTTGGTGCAACCCAACAGAGCCCCCTTTATGCAACACAGTTAACACGTCAATTTGCTATTTCACCGTCTCCACCGTAACCCACAAAAACCATAGAATATTTACGATGGCTTTTGCATACACCATCTAAATTCTCTGCATCTTGTAATCCGAAGATTGCCACTCATCAAGCGCCATCTGACACAGTCCCTTTTTAACGGCACCCATCAACTCTTAATGTCAGCGTCATGCATATACGACTTTTCTTCCCCCCCCCCCCATCATCAGTAACGAGATAGAAAAAGACTGTATAAATATATATAAAAGACACGTGCTGGTGTGAAGAACTGCCACCACTGCTGCTGCTGATGATGATGATGCTGCGGCGGCTTCAAGCCCGTCCTGCAATGCAACATCACCCCCCACTGGCCACGGTCTGAACTGCAAAGGAATTCACCCTCTAACCTACACACACTGAAACAATAAGATATTACAAAAGCTTAAATTAATGTTATCCATGTGTGTTCACTTCGTGAGAATATGCTTTTTGATTGTTTTGGATTTTGTTTCACATGTTCTGAGCAATTTACTTTTGTGACATATAAACCAACTATGAGGAGCACAGGGACTGGCATTGTGCTGGTGCCCAGACTTGGGACCACGTATTGTAAAAAGTCATGTAATTTTTTTTATAAAACTGGGATTAGCGAGGGACTGGGGATTACCTTTCTCCAAAAATGGAACCATGTAATACGATCTAATATTTTTCTCTCAAAACAGTTCAGTCACGTCATGTATTTGAGTATGTAATTCAGAGGACTTCAAGTTTGCAACTGGTTGAATGCTTTATTAGTTTCATACCACAATTTCAGCTCCTCACTTGTTACAGTGTTTTTTGACTGGCTCACAATAAAAATGGTTCTCTCAGTACAATCGGATTCAACAAGCAAATGATAATAAAAAACAATTCTACTTAATTTTGTCTCATTTGTTGAACACACATGTAACTGTAATAGGAAGCAAGATTAAAGCTGGGGTACCTAACTTTCAACTACTAGTTCATTGCTCTCAGAACAGTTTGGCTCTCTCACTACATGTATTTTTGGCCTCTGTCGCATCTTGTAGACAGACAAGTGAAAACGAGTGGCCCACCCTCACTCAGCCAATCAGCTCTCAGTCGAAAGTAGTGACTCACAGAACTCTTTCTTATGCAAAAGATACAAAACAATGTTTTCTTATATGATAATGACAGCGTGTAGTGTCTTCATTCTTCATGTTTTCAGTCTTTCTGCTGGGACAAAAGCAAACATTTTTAACCCTAATCCAGCTTTAATTTGAAAAAGAGTATTTGACTATACAAATAAACTTGCCTT